CCTGCAGTCTGCATCATTGCATCTGTTTTGTGAGATGGAGGAGGACTTTGTGGATTGGTGTCAGACATATGGGCTAATGTTGGACTTGTGGGCTTTGGCAGCACTGGGTAGGGGTCCTTAATGTATGCTTACCCTTTACATAAAGCTCTCTCTTATACATATGAGTGTCTGTGGATTTGTTTCCCTAGTTTACCCAGACTAAAACAGGCCTTCAAGCAAGGAGTGATGGAGTTTAAGAAACCATCAGTTTGGGGTTCAGTTGCAGCAGCAGCATTGAGAAGTTTGAGGGGGTGAGTGGGAGGGACATCAAGAGTAGGGATGGGAGGTTCCTGGTCTTTGGTTTCTCCACTTAATCTTTTCTTGACAGGAAAGTGGTTGATTTTTCAGGTTCAGGAATCTGTTGATGCTGATGAAGCTTATGAAAGGGATTCAGGCCCTTCAGCTAAGAAAGAACAAGTTCTATATGAGAACAATGAAGTGTTCTGGAATTCCCATTCTTCTCAAGGTTATCCATAGTTTGATCCACACAGGAGAATGCGGAACTTGTACATGGGTCAAGAGGCGGTTGCACGAACAGAACGGGGAATACTGCATGGCGTAAAATCAGGAAAGGAGTGTGTCAGGGTTGTATCCTCTCACCATACTTCTTCAATCTGTCTGCTGAGCAAATCCCCAGGGAAGCTGGCTCATCTGAAGAAGAATGTGGCATCAGGATTGGAGGAAAGCTTATTAGCACAGCCTTGCTTGCTGAAAGTGAAATACTTGCTGGTGAAGATCCAGGATTGCAGCCTTCAGCATAGTTGACAACTCAACATAAAGAAAACCAAAATCCTCACAACTGGACCAATAGGAAACACCAGAGAAGTTTTAAGTTAAGGATTTTGTCTTGCTTGAATCCACAACCCATGCTATGGAAACAGCAGTCAAGAGATCAAAGAAATGTTGCATTAGTATGTTACTTTGAGGACTGAAGTGCACCTCATCCAAGTTATTTTCAATAGTATTTTCAGTGGGATTTTCAATGGCCTCATATGCATGTGAAAATTGGAATTGGCGAAGAAAGCTGATGGTGCCTGGCTATCCAAAGATATAGCATTTGGGGTCTTAAAGGCTTGAAGTAAACAAGGAGCCATCTAGCTCAGAAGCAACAAAGTCCACATGGAAGAAGCTCACCAGCCTGTGTGATCATGAGGTGCCGAAGGGATCAGTTAT